GTGGACAACCATAAAAATAAATTAGCATGGCACCTCAGTTATAAAACTCATGCATTCGGATGGCGATTTATTCACGGTGGAGGAGTGAGTTTTGTGATTATGCAAAACGGTTGCATAGAACATACCTGTCTGACTGCCAAAAATACACTGAAATTAAGTTGGCACACAAATAGCTTGTCCTCAGTAGTGTATTATATCAGTTTCAGTGACATTTAGAAGAAGGGAATTCAGCCATCCATAGTATATCAGTGAGGATAGAATATTGGCCACTTTTTAAAGCCAGCTGTAGAATTGGTAAGCTTGTCCTTTGCCAAGTGCTACAGGGATATTTAAAATATAATAATATTCCACAAGTTATCTACTGTTGACCATTGACTTTTGTTTTCATTGATGTATTGTGCCCTGCCCTGAATGACTTCAAAATAGCTCCTCTAGTAGAAGATGTAAGGCTGACAAATTTCTTCTTTTGCAGTAAAGGGGAATAGATGACAAACTTATTTTGAATTATTTTTTTCAATTTTCTCCTTTCATCTTGTTAACACAACTTAAGCCGTAGAGTGAAATAAGAAACAAAACCTGACTTATTGGCACCTTCGTAGGTCCTTATCATTTCTGTGTGTGCATTTTAAGAAGTTTTCTAGATAAATGGGCTTTCACCCTTGGCCTAAGAACTAATCCTGTTCAATAACTAACTAACTCTTCCTCCAGTGTGACCGCACACCACATAATAGTCCCGAAACTATGACATTATTGTCATGAGTGTGTGTATTAAATTACCTGTTACCGTGATCAATTGACATGGGGATTAACTTCTTTAGACTTGCTTACTTAGTGGAACCTAAACCCAGTGGTCCAGCCATTCACACAGTATTAGCAAGCACCTCAGCAAGGTTGCTACTAAATGCTTCCTCAGCACTGCAGTTACCCTGATCTCATAGCCGTTGAGTTAATCCCCGTCTCATATGACCGCGTGGGTTGAAGGAATGTCCAAGGGTTATAAAAATTCAAATTGTAAGGTTAGAGAAATTATTTATTAGGTTACTGCAAATAAAAATGAAACTTGCATGAAAAGATTAGAAGATATAAACACTTTAGGGGATAGTTCACCTCAAGTGTTCTCAGTATTACAATTTCTGTCATTGTTTTTTCATTTGTTTTTTGCACATTTTTGAGGAAGGAAAAACATGCTGTTTTCGTGCATGTATATTTAATGCAATTAGCTGGTGTTCCCCGCCCCGCTTTCCAGAAGAGGGCGGAGCCTGTACAGCTCCTGCCTCCAATAGTCTGCAAAACCTAACACATCTGTTTGGTTTTGAATTGATTATCATCTCTATCGCGGTCACGCTCACGTGACATTGCAGTTCTTCATCATCATGAAAGTTTATTATCTGCATGTGTTTTAAAGCCATATCAGTCTAAACTTCTGATATATGGTTTTCTGAGCGCACACATCGGAAACACGTGCACAGAAATCTGGATGTCAGACTGTGCGTCCCGTGAGTATTAAACTAAGTTCTCTTTCACGTCTCATTGCGCTTAAAACTGTCAAAAACGCACAAAGTTCACATACACAGTCGGTTATGTCTGTGAACGCAAACAGCAAGAAAAGAAATCGCATGTGTGTATGAGATCTGTGTATGAAAGTGAAAACAACATAACATACAGTACCTACTGCTATATAGGCTCTTAATATGAATCAAACAACAAAAGAAAATCACTCACTGCCCTTGATTGAATAACTTATTAGCTTTAATAAGAATACATTTCTTTCTTGAATGCTGCTGTTAAATGCTCTGGCGAGGAGATACATATGGCGGACTGTGTACAGCTCATTCATGGCGGGGTCTAAGAGTCATTCGGTAGTCGTGGGTGGGGCGGTGGATTTTTACCATTATAGGGTGGTTGTGTACACACTGCCAGCACATTTATGTTCAAACACCATGTCAAAGTAAATTTTGCATAATTGATCCTGTTTAAAATATATGTTTAGTCACAAAGTCATAGATTTGGAATACCATGAGGGTGAGTGTAAACTATCCCTTTAAGTTGTGATGAATTTATAGATTTGGGAAGAGTTACAATTCTGTTTAAAAGTTTGGGGTCAGTAATAAAAACAACAGAACAAAGACACATATGAATAAACAGTGTTTTTCAGGTAGGTCTAACAGTAGTTTTCAGGTACAAATATTGAATAATCAAATGTAAGATAACACTGCTGTATTATGGAAGCTTGTTTCCGCCACAGAATGAAAAATAAAAAAGGTAATTGCGACTTTTTATCTCACAATTCTGACTTTTTCTCAGAATTGCGAGATGTAAAGTCAGAATTGCGTGATATAAAATCGCAATTGCGTGTTATTTAAGTCAGAATTGCGAGATATAAAGTCAGAATTTATTGATATAAAGTCGCAATTGCAGGTTATAAAGTCAGAATTGCGTGATATAAAGTCGCAATTGCGTGTTGTAAAGTCAGAATTGCGTGAAATAAAGTCGCAATTGCGTGTTAAAGAGGCTATATGTAACTTTTTCCCAAAAATAAACGTAACAATAGCCTTTTCATTTTACCATTTATGACTCAAATATCTCCTGATGAGCATACTGGCACCTTGTCCGCTCACAGTGGGTGCACCTATAAGCCTGTATTCTATTTTTCCTATTTTCTGTCGGGTCGGATTTCCCCTCGCTGTCTGCGGATGTGACGTCAGGCGCGTTCATAACGTTTCAGACCACTCTGCCACCACCGCTAGTCAGCAAGTAGCCTACACTCGCAAGCAGTGCAATGGATTTTGCGATTTTGTGACTGTTCTTACCTCTGTAAACATAATGTTGACCTCCTTGCAGCAGATGACTTGTGAAGTGTGCACGTACGAGCGCTGCGAGAGCGAGCAGAAAGGAAGAGCAGTTCTGTTTTTTGGCCACAGGTGTCAGTCGCGAGTTTAAATTTCAGAAAAACGCATATAGCCTCTTTAAGTCAGAATTGCGTGATATAAAGTCGAAATTGCGTGTTGTAAAGTCAGAATTGTGAGATATAAACTATTCTGAGGGGAAAAAAGTTAGTCTTTTTCCCCCCTTAGAATTGGCCTGATAACTCGCAATTGCGAGTTTATATCTCACAATTCTGAGAGAAGATGTCAGAATTTCGAGATATAAACTCGCAATTATGTGTTATAAAGTCAGAATTGCGTGATGTAAACTCGCAATTGTGAGAAAAAAAGTCAGAATTGTGAGATAAAAAGTCGCAATTCTGTCTTTTTTCTCGCAATTGCGACTTTATTTCTCATAATTGCGACTTTTATATCTCGCAATTGCGACTTCATTTCTCAGAATTGCGACTTTATATCTCGCAATTGCGACTTTATTTCTCACAATTGCAACTTTATATCTCGCGGATTGTGAGATAAAAAGTCGCAATTATTTTATTTTTTTTATTCAGTGGCGGAAACAAGCTTCCATACTGTATAAATTAAGAATAATCCTTATTAAAATTACGAAAGTAATTTAGTCGAGCAATGAGCAATTTTTTTTGTCTTTTATTTGATTAATATTAAAACAGCAGCAATATTATGCTGCTGTCACTTTAAGAGGTGATACACACGTGTTTTATAACTCTTTACGTTCACTTTAGCCATAACCGACTGTTTTTACTAGGATACTCACCAAGATGGGCATTTTGATGTAATGTTGTGAGATCTTTTTCTGTTCAAGTGCATGAAGCAAAAGATAACTTAATTCAGTATTTGGTTGTGCTGCTTAATATTTTGTGAAAACTGATACAGTTTTTTAAGATTTTTTTTATGAATAGAAAGTTCAAAAGAACAGCATTCATTTTGAATTGAAATTGTTTGTAACATTATAAATGTCTTTCCTGTCACTTTTGATCAATTTAGTACATCTTTTCTAAATAAAAGTATAAAAAAAACTTTCTTCAAAACATCTCAATGACCACAAACCTTTGAACGGTAGTGAAGATTAAAAGGTTCAATCAGTAATTTAGTAATATGTTATAAATTATTCACTCACATGAGACTCCTGTCATGTCACCCATCTAAAAAAGTGATTTTATTCTACATGGGTCGGGTCACATGATCAGCTAAATAAAACAAATTTTGTTACCATCTTCTTTATCAATGGACACTTTAGCTTCCTTAACAATTTAATGACGACTTCTAACACCATCACAAAAAATTAATGAGCACACCTTCAGTGAAACATTGTTTAATGAGATTAGAAGAAAAACAGATATGGGTCAGATTGATAGAGAAGGGGAAACAAGCAGAGATGGATAAAGATTGAAAAAATAGAGATGGGGGGGAAAGCTGAAGTAGTGGATATTTCATCAATGTTCCCCATTGTGTGGAGAGAGCTACGTTTTCTGAAGGGACCCTCTCAAGGCTAAAACATGACTTGGAAGCAGCTGAAGAGATGGAGGGAGAGTGAGCGATGGAAAGAGGAATGGTCTTGGGGTAACTGAGGATCGATGAACATTTCAACTCTCCCTGTCCAATTAGGGCCCACGTGAGACTTTGTCCCCAAAGCACACATTCATTTATTCGATTAACTTACCGTCTCCTCCACCATGTATTCATCTGTTTTGAGTCTGCGTCGAGCAAATCAGCCAGTGTAGGAGTATTGATCTGTACTTTTATTCCCATCTGTGTGTTTGTTACTTGCACTGCCTTTTGCCTCTTCAGCTTCTCCTTGAATGCTGTTATCGGTCTGTTCTTTTATTTCATAAACATCTGCCTCTCCAGTGACCCTGTTTTAGTGTCTTTTTTTGTGGACTTTACCTATTTATTTAATGCTTTACTCTAATACTGAACTGGGTTTCATTGAAGTATTGATGCTGTTCAGCTGCACTGTCAGTCTTTCAAACTGTTTTCAAGTTTCGAAGGTTTTCAAACTACTTTTATAAAAGGTCTTTTTTTTTTTAAAACGGCATCTCTTAATCTGAGATTGCTGTGATGTTTCTGATGTTGTTTGTCCGTTCTTGTTCTCCACAGACAAACCTCCCCATATTCAAGCTGAAGGAGTCACGTGTCCGGAGGAGATACAGCGACTTTGAGTGGCTGAGAGGAGAGCTGGAGAGGGAAAGCAAGGTGAAGGATGGATGAGTGAAATAGTAGTGTTGGTTTGGTTGGAACATCGCACGAATGCTCAGACTGAGGCATTTTATCATCCTTCCATCCTACTGCATAATATCAGGCTTGTTGTATGGGTCCAGTTCAACTAGATACATTTAAGTATCAAGTAGTAATGTTTTTTTTTTTGGGGGGGGGGGGGGGGGGGGTTCTTCAATCATTGGATTGGAAATGATTCTGTAGTTCAGGTAATGACATTTGAAGTGATTGTAAGAGACCTATGATTGAATTTGGAGATGTATGTAACGTGAATAAAGTGCTTGTATTTCAAACAGGTGGTAGTTCCTCCTCTTCCTGGAAAGGCTCTGTTCAGGCAGCTCCCATTCCGTGGGGATGATGGTATATTTGACGACTCTTTCATCGAGGAACGGCGGCAGGGCCTAGAACATTTCCTCAACAAGTGAGTCACAAGATCCTCCTGATAACTTTACCAGAAACATTAATCTTTGGGTTTACCTTCACGTTCAGTTGAACCATGCGAGTAGGAAAAGACAATTCATCTAAATCACTATACATCACAAAACAGGACAAAATTAACTTCAAATTTAACAGTTGACAGGTAGTACATTTTGTTAATTTGGCAGATTCTTCTATCAAAAACTCGTGACTTTGGAGTTGCTAGCACCATGTTATACTGTTTGATTGCCGTATCGCAGCATCTTTGTGCCCAACATTCAGTTCTCAATGCTAAATTACTTATCCACTAATATTCGGAACCTATAAAGCTGAATTATGAGCAAAATGACATGTCAAAAATTGCCTTTGTTGTTTATCCTATTAGTCTTTCATTCAAAATGTATACAAAAATATAATCTTTAAATGGAGTAAAATTCTAGCCTATTTTGCACATATTTATGGTTCCATTATTAATGAAGGACACTATGTATTAGTGATGCACCGATGTGAAAATTGTGGCCGATACCGATAACCGATATTAATATTGCTGTTATGGCCGATACGATATTTACCGATGTCGATATCGATATATATTGCGATATAAAAACAATTTCACCAGATGACTTGAATAGCTCTATTTTGGAAAGAATGAATCATTCTAGAATGACTCCGGTGGTTTTGTCATGGAGTAAATCCGCATAGAAACTAATATTAATAGAATGTTCACTAATGTAGTTAACTAGACTTTAATAAATGGAACCTTATTGTAAAGTGTTTCCGATTTATGTGTGAGTTCAGTTTTGGACAGATCAGTTGTTTTAACCATTCATTAAAGTGAATCGGTTCAAATGAGTCATTAGTTCACGAATCGGACGTGTCATTAACGGACCATCGAGGCAGTTTAGGACATCGCACAAGATTTGTCTCAACACAGAAAACATTTCATCACTAGATTAGATTGTTTTGTTTGTTTATTGAAAGTGTGGTTTATGTCATCTGATTCTGAATGTGTGGAAAGCTTTTCAGAGTTGTGAATTGTGCTAAAATAACATTGCCTTTATTTTAGCACAATTCACAACCAATGGTAGTTCAGAAAAAAAAAACTTCGGTCTTCCGACCTTTTACAATCGTGTATTCTCAAAGATATTCAGTCAACTCAATTCATTAATATGCGCGAGGGAGGGAGAGAGAGAGAGCAAAACAGTTTGAAGACGGTGAGAGTGCGCGCGTGCGCTCGTTCTCTCAGTTAAGCAAGCGCAGCAGTCAGTCATCTACATCACTCACCGGTCAAATAAGGCTTTGGCGGGACAAAAATACGCCTTAGTAAGGCTGACAGAAAACAGCGCGCAAGTTCCAGTCTTCTTGCGCTTGATGTTTAAATTGACAGGACTTCCGCTCGTAATGTGTGCGCTCGTGCAAAAACAAACATCCCCGCCCCCACACTCACATCTACACACACGTCAAATACACAGGAATGATTATCGGCCTGTTCACATCGGCCCTATTTTGACATCGGAATGATACCGATGTGTAAAAAATTGACCATATCGGCCGATATTATATCGGCGGCCGATATATCGTGCACCACTACTATGTAGGCTATCCATGATGCATTGTGGGAATAAAACTATTTATCCTTGTGATTTTGTTCTTAAGTTCATTTGAGTTAATGTTGATAATGACAAGATTTACATAGTCCTCTACTGCGTGTCCTTCCTCTTAACTTCTTTTGGCCTCAGCACATCTGAACTGTTTTTATAAAGAAGAGTGAAGCGGTTATCATGATAACATAACACAAGAGTTTTTCCTCTTTCCGCTAATTTGGAGTTTTTAGGTTAAGGTACTTCAGTGAAAGAGAAAAACATACACTTGCCAGCCTTTGTGTCATCTGATGTCTTCCCTCACACTTTTTTTTCCTTCTCTCATAATTACCTACAGAATGATCAAAACTGATGAGAGGCCACAAGTGCACCAGCTTTACTTTTTACATTTGTTTTATTTTTGATGTGTAATTTATGATAATTGCGAGTGAAATTACAGGCATGCATACCTTTTCCCTACAAGATGTTGTGTGCACTCCTGCTTATTTTTGATCCGAGGTGCCGTTCCCCCGACGACTGAGACAATAAAAGTTACAGTTCGATTGTAATTATTTGCTGTGATTGCAGACTTTGCCATTATCTTTGTTTCATGTGCAAATGTGCCGGCTCTACCTGTTTGAATTTTAATACGAGCCGAACAGCTGTAAATTAGGTTTGAAGAAAGAAAGGATATGGAGGTAATTAAGATGGGGTTTTTTTTTCTTCAACCAAAAATTCCTGAATTAAATATCATTGTTCAGTACTAATAGCACCTGGGGAAGGGGGAAGCATGCCCATCATACTTCTCGACTATGTGTGTGTGTGGATTTGTACAGCATGTCTTTATATTGCCTCTCCCAAACCTGAAAATGATTCTCTGTCATCTTGACTTATAACATCATGAGCATCATGTAATTTTAGAGGTGTGAGGGTCCTTTTTTATTCCATTGGAAGCTGGAATAGATATAATGGTAAAATAATTAGTTTAATTAGCATGATGGCTTATTCTACTTTTTTAAAGATATGCGTAATTAAATTTTGATATTACCACTCTGAAATTTAAGATGGATGATTTATGATCTGAAAAAGGATGCAGCGAAACGTCACAGCCTCCTAATAATATCTAAGTTGCATCTTGATTGGGGTCAAAGTTGTTTCCGCCTCCTCCCTCCCTCTCTCTCTCTCCCTCTCTCCCTCTCTCTCTCTCTCTCTCTCTCTCTCTCTCTCTCTCTCTCTCTCTCTCTCTCTCTCTTCTGCTTTACAATGTGCATCCTTGCATAATATTTTTGATGATGGCTAATGTGCCTTTTGTGGTCTGATTTTCCAGAGTGGCTGGTCATCCATTGGCCCAAAATGAGCGCTGCCTGCACATGTTCCTACAGGATGAGTCCGTGGATAAAAGCTACACCCCTTCCAAAATTAGACAAGCCTGAACCGGTCTGGACTCTACACATACACAAAAAAAAAAAAAAAAAACATGACCCACAAGCAATAAGAAAGGTTTGAATCATTCTTAACTGGAAAAGAATCTTCGCATGAACCATAGGGCATCCAAAACATTTCCCTGCGCAGAACACGAGACGACAAATAATTGAAAATGTACTAGAATTAGTCATTGTATATCTCTTCACTTTTCCAACAGTACGGTTTTAATCTGTCCTTATAGATAGTTTTGGTCTCTCTGATTTATAAATCCATGATGTTAATATTACCACTTTAAGTCCAATCAAACACATTCTTGTGTGTAATTAATTGTGGTTAAGAATTATTTATGGTAGTTTTGTCTGAGAGCACCACTAGCTTTGATATTTGTAGTACAAGATCAAACGAAACAAACCAAATAACTATATCACAATTATGCAAGCACTATATCACACACATTGGCATCCCTGTTACTGTACTACCTACTTATGTTGCTTTTAATGCTGAAGAACACGTACAGAAGCTTACCGTGCAGGATGCACTTAATTGGGAACCTCCTTGATCGTGTGCTGTGTGTCCCACTTAGCTGCAGACAAGTCTGTTTTTACTGTGTAATGGTGTTACACAGAAACACAGAGAGTAATGCCTACATTGCATGTTTCCAGATTTGTATACTGCTGTGCCATTGTTTTGTTTATGAGAATTTTCCAATAAAACGGATCAAACACACGCACATATGATGTGGTTTGAAAAACGAAAGCACCTTTGTTTGGATCCGCTAAAACTTCTTTTAAGAGATTATCCCAGACCATCAGGAGTTTGTATAAAGTGAGTCACCTGCATATTTTGATTGACTCTTTGCAACATCTATAGGATTTAATTGTTTTTCTTCTGATCAATAGCTAAAGAAATAACTAGGACAAGGTGATAAAAATATCAGTATTCTGTGTGCAAGAATTGTAAAATTGACTTCTCTCATTTTGGCCTGACACTAATGACACTAACCTCGAATGACCCTAATATAAGAGTAAAATGAACTTTTTTCCCATTTAGGGCAGACAGGGTTTGGCTTGTGAATTATTGGCCAATTAATAACTATATTTTTTATATATATTATTATATAACTATATATAAGCCATGGTGCACTGGTTCTTCAAATAAGGGTTGTTTGTTTTGTGTGGGTACTTATAGCATTTGTTTAATGAAAACAGAACAAAAATGACATGAACACGAGGGTTAAACACTGCACTTAATGTCTACTTTTTAGAACTTTATATGTGTGTGCACTTAATGTCTACTTTTTAGAACTTTATATGTGTGTGTAACTATATAACACATTTGGGATCTAAAATTGAGTGTACAATATTGGGAAACAGGTGTGTTTTGTATTGTTTGTAATTGCTGTACAAATTACAGGCCTACATTCAACCTTTTGCTTGTGAGTCTAGCATTGTCTAATCCTGTGGGTATTAATTATTTGTTATTCTGTTTCTAGCATGATGGATTGTGCCTAAATTAATTTTGATGGAATGCAAATGTTGTCGAGAGTCAATTTTATGTGCAACAATGCTGTATAAGGTAAAGAGGAGGGCACAGCCGCGTGGCTCATGCAACCTTGGAGTTCACTCCACGTCAGAGCAGGAACTAGGATAAAGAGGATAAATTGGATTGAAAGTTGTCACCGCAATCATGTTTCTTTCTATTGTATCCTCTCTATCAAAAAAATGAAGATAAAAAATGCAATTTGGGCAAAGCCCTTGATTTGTGAAAGAGTGCTTGAAACCCCGAGCTGTGCGAGGCACAGCAACTTCACTCAAGGTCCAGGGTATTGTATCGACAGTGGTTCAATATGCACTTACGTGCAGACATGAACCTCTCTCTGTCCCCGTTCAGTACCCCGTTTAGGGAGCAATGGACTTTTTTCTGCTTGTAGGAGGTGGCTTTAGAAACCCAAAACCCCTACAGTGAAAGGAGACATGAATTAGACCGTCGTTGAAGAACCAGGCAATCAATATTCAATATTTATTCTAATATCTTAGAACAACTTTCACAAAAATTATCACTGTACAACAAGAAATGTATTTACAGACTACAAAAAAAAAAAAAAAAATCCAAGTGCTGATCGTGTCTCTTTTCCATGGTTAGTGGTAGCTAGTCAAACAAGGGTTTTAAATGGTGACCCGACATGGGCCAAGTATGAGCAGAAACGGCTTTCAATAAACAAATCAATCAATAAAATTACATTTGCAGAGTGGCCACACAGAAAACTGTCAATGCCGACAGAATTTTATCCAGAGGATTTTAAATGCCCTGCCTTTGAACCCTAATCTTAAAGGTCACAAGCTGTGGGTGCTGTGGCCTCCCAGTCACCTCAATAGGTAATTATGTGATTCATCAGGTCGGCAATGCTCAGTCCTGCTGCCTTCCTGCTAAGTTTATTTCCAACCTTAAAGCATGCATTTCAAGTAAACCCGATTAGCTGGTTCAAGTGTTTTTGATTAAAGTTGGAGCTTCTGCTGGAAGGCAGGACAGGAATGAACTTGCTCTTCAGTTCTGACTCATGGGCCTTTGGTTTTCAGCACTATGTCAAAGGGACAGCGACTTACTTCCCTGCAACATACCTCATGGTTTCTTTTTTTTTGTTTGTATTTTTGGTTTCCTTCAAAGTTATCGTGGACATACGAATAATAGTGGTGCTGAAATCAAAACAGCATTGGTCATGAAGGTAGTTGGTCAGTTGGACACAATAAAACGTCCCATTTTGAAATGAATGATTGTACATAACAGACACTCCGTTCAAATATGACTACAAACTAAGATAATTTTGTATTTAAATCTTGATAGAACAAGAACAGATTAAGCTTGTTAAGTTACTTCCATAAACAACCTTAAATAGATTAAATCAATTAGAAAATTACTGGTTAAACGTTCATTTTTCTTTCTAAGCAGTGAGCTCAACTTTTAGAGATGCAGTCTGTTTGTTTGTTTGTTTTAAACTTTCCCTGCGTAACAACATCTTGACATTGGTAGAGCTTTATTCTCCAAACAAGTGCGTGAAGAATCACATTAGGGCATCTGGTATCATCCACGGGGTCCATGTGAATGCCAAGGTCAAAGATACATTTTTGTTTCTTTTCTCTGTCTCTCAGTAGCTCATATATCACTGGATTTGTACATGTCTGAAAGCAGTCGTGTGATGGGCACGTTTCCGATGGTCTTTTTGAAGAACACCTCTTCAATGGTGGATGGACCAACTGAACGTAGAGCAGGCAAGAGCAACAGCAGTTTCCCAAAGCGGCACGGCTGAGTGGGGTACCTGAAAAGTAACCATTCGGTTGAAATCCTTGAAATAGGAATAGTTTAATTTAAAATCGAAATCAGAAGAGTTCTAAATTCACCACTGTTCTTGCATAAAAATCATTGTATGCGCTTTAATAGATTTCCCCATGTTTCAGTAAGTATTCGCTGTACCTGGTGTGAATGTAGCTGTTTAGAGTCAGCTGGGCTTCGTCCTGAAGGGCTGCAATGGCACTAGCGTTACGAAAGCTCCTCAGTTCCGAACCACTGTGTGTTGGAACTGTACAAGAAGGAAAAGAGCTCATTTTACACTGTTTGGCCAGTAGAGCAAGTCAGACCAGCCACTAGTCATGTGCCCACTGAAAACTGAGACCCACACAGCATTTGATGTGCCCCCCTTTGATTTTAAGTTAGTAAGTTAGGTCAATAATAATCATTAATAAAATTAAGTTCACAGTTCTATGATGTATAGAACTGATCAATTATATTTATTAAAATTTTTAATTTGTATTATTTAATGAATAGCTTTTCATTAAACACACAAAGCCCCCGCAGTTCAATCTCACAAACCCCAGCCTGGGAAACGCTGACATGATGTAATATTTAATGCACTTCATGTTGTTGTTAACAAAGAATGGAATATATTTAGTCTCTCTTTGTATTTTTATATCAATATGGTACAAGATTATCCTGTTCAAATCAATGTGATAAACGTAGTCAGATTAGCCTACCTTACATGTGTTGTGATGGATTACATTAGTTGCTAACTACAATTTTTGTCATGTAATTTGGAATCAGTAACTGACAACAATTTGTAAGTAATCTCCCCAGCACTGTATGTTCTCAAAGTGTGTTTCCTGAGATTTTTTTTGTTTTGTTTTTTGTTGTTGTTTTTTTAACGAACTCTACCTGCTTTGAAGGTGACGATGCACTTGAGGCACGCGAACTCGGTCGCGTCCAGTCTGAGCTGTCTGAAACGCGTCACGACCTCCTGCAGCGCCTGGATCTCGGAGATGATTTTGTTTAGCCTCTGGGAATCTGTGTTCTCGGTATTCATTCCTTATTCGCGAGAAAACGTGATCAAATCTTACACTTGGATAATCAAAGTATGGATATGACTTTGTAAGCAAAAGTAAAAAATAGAAATGGCAATTGTAAAAGTATTTCAAACTTGTTAACAACAAAGCACAACTTAGCATTGCGGACAAGACGAATCTCTGCAGGCTACATGTTTTATGTCCTACCTGAAACAGCTAGGAGAGTGCTGGAGTCCACTGGAATGGCCCACTGCGCGATGCCCAGCACGAAAAGCTCCCTCCATGCGTCTTCTAAAAGAATCAACTGCAAAAAAAAAAAAAAAAAAGGTAAGAGTGTTCACTAATGAATATGATTATACACAAAACACCTGGCATTTGGTTTGGTTACATGAAAATGATACATTAAATCATTTAAACACTTGTTTACCTGGTCAGGTAGAGGGAGCGTGGAGAAGGCCGGAACACTCTTGGCCCATTTAATGCTCATGAAGAGCAGGCGCGCGGCTGATTCGCACACAGACTCTGTCGCCACTTCATACAGGTACATGGGAGTGCCACTAACTTCATGAGGATACTGAAAAGTTATTATATGAGCATAGAAAATAAGTGGGGTTGTAGGCATTCATTTATAGGTTAAACTATGTTTTAATTAAATTGATAATTCGTTGATTAAACTGCGTTTACCTTCGGTGTGGGTTGGGCGAGTCCTACAATGGCCTGCCGTTCCGGTGTGCTTGTGACCGTGTTTAACTCTAGATTGTGAGGCTCCAGCTGCGTGACTGTTGTGAAAAACGGCGGCCCCGGGATAGACGTGGATGGAAAATGGGTCGACGAGCCGTTCACCTCTTTATGGCCTCGGAAATACAGTGCAACCTGCTTTCGAATGGTTGACGTTCTCGGTCCTCTCTCGTGCTGCACTGCTGTATTCATATGACATGATGATAAATAAGCATTCTTATAGGATAAAAAGCAGAAATAGTTTAAAAAGCTACAGCTAGTTTGGAAATATGTGGCAAGTAGTAGCCTATGTAGGCTATTCTTGTTGGATTTTTTGAAAATCGATCATTTCTACAATAAATATTGACTTAATGTATAGAGAGCCTAGGCTAACAATCGAGTTAAAGGTACAAAATCATTTTACTAGCCAAATGAAGACACTAAAGTAGTAATCGCTGTGCTGCCTTTTTTTCTACAAATTTGCATGAATAAGTAGCTATATTGTATTAGTGTTACTCCACTTTTGGAAAAAATATTTTTTTTTATTTTTTTTTCTGGTCACATGACAAACTGGTTATTAGCATGTAGAATACACTTTGATAATAATAATATATATAGGCCTATATAACAGGCCTATATAATACTATAATAGGCTAATACAATTTTAAATCAGTGGTATTTTTTTCAGTCATCCTTTTAATTCGATTTTATAGATCCGGAAAACCAAATCACTGACACTTATAACATTTAGCTTATACAAGTGTATCAGTCAACTAGCCTATTTGGCAAGTAAAGACAAAAGCAATCTGCTTTTTTACCGTATGAATTTTATTTATTTTTATTTTTCTGCATCTATCAAAGGGGATTACAGGCAACATAAAACCATTTTCTGTTGCTAACTCTTGAAAATATATATTTTTAAAAAACGAATGTGTTTACTAGCACTTACCATCTTTATTCATATTAACTTCAAGACACTTTTTCAAGCGACAGGCGCGACACTGATTTCTGTGTGTCTTGTCTACTGGACAGCCGCCCTGAGGGAAAAGAGGACGAAAGAATAAGGAAATAGAGTAGGTTTCGTTTAGTAATGACACACAAACAGCCTCTTCTGCTTTATGCTCCAGTGATCTCCACTCCACAGGTATATGGGAATGGTAGAGTAATGACGGCTATTGACTCGCTCCCCCGCCGCACGGCCAATAGTCTCATTCCCACCGCTCTCCAAATCCACCCAGTCCTGCCGGTGCGTTAGATTGGATTACACCTGTTACACTAGACGGGGCAAAGGGCCCTCAAAGGCGCGGGAGGGGGCTCACTTCTGGGATAATCTTTCAATTATGAAAATCACTGGAGGTGTAATCTAGTCCTTAGACGCGCTAGCTTAGATCAAATTAGCTGACGCTGTTATGGTTCAAACACTTCGCTGTAATTGATTAGTAGGCCTAGCTATAGCTCACCTGTGTGCCAGATTTGCAGACATACGTTCTGTTTCTCCTTATGCTCCTCTTGAAAAAACCCGAGCAGCCATCACACGCATAAACCCCGTAGTGCTTTCCAGAACTTCGGTCTCCACACACTTTACATGGAATGTCCAGAATCCGACCTACCAGAGATAGAAAATATAGCAGTTAGTCTATTTAATGAAAAACGACAAAAATGTAGCAACCCAATTGCAGATTGTAGGCCTATGTCTATTTAAGAACATTGACATATATTTTGTAAAGTTAGATTTTCTTAAATTTTTGTATATTATTGTGTAATAGTTTGTGTGTGGGGAGGGGCTAATATCTTTTTTTTTATTAAATGTTTTTTTAAATAGGCTAATGTTTAATATTTATTCATTTGAACTCAAAGATTGGTATTAAGTTTACGATTTCAAGTTAGGCCGAGATCATATTTTCACCTGGCGATAGCAGACTCGCGCGAACAGAAATAGCGATGAGATGAAAGTTGGCTATAGCCTGTTTTTATTAGGATCTATCACTTTCTTATATTTAGCCTAGATAAACAAGTGTCACATAAAAAAAATCATCAGTTTTGTTTAAAACGATAGTTAACGTTGATTTTCTGTGATACGGGCATAAAAGAGAAATTATGCGCGAGACGAACCTCAACATTGCGCCTGCATGGTCTTTTTATAGGCCTACAGAAATTTCCCTGAAAGTCATTGCATAATTTCGCACAATTCCCAAATCTTGGTTTCTAAGAACTAAACAAACAATCGTGCTAAATATTGCGTTAAAGGACACACTTTTAATGAGTCAGTCCATAGGAATGTGCAAACCCTGGGCGCATTGGTGGGAAGCGTCATATCGCAGGTCGCATAAAACAATGTTCAGTAGACGTGCACAATGGCGACATTAGGGAGAGTGTTAACTTAATGATTTCCCCATTGAGCCTCGTCTGACTGGCCTGGTCTCGACAAGCTGCCAACCCCGCTTCATAATGAAGCTCGACAACTGCTTTCTTCGCGCCGTCTATAGGCTCGCGGATTAAGGAGTGACACGGGAGAGGAGAATAATACGCACCAGCGCGTTTCAGAGACTCAAATGAAGTGTATGCAAATGAACTTGGAGTAAATGAAAATTGTGATTTTTCTTGTGTGTGCAGAACATTTTTTTTTCTGTATTTAAGTCTGTCAATAGAGGTATATTTGCATGTATATGGGGGAGTCGTTTAGAGAAACGGCTATGTAATTACACTGACATATGTCCACCTGCTCATTGATTTTCCAGTGACCCGTCAAAAAGGGTAGCATGGGAATTCGGATATAGACCAGTAACGAAGGAGAAGGAAAACGACTTCATGCACTCTGACTTTTTAAAACAAGAAAAGGAAAGAAAAAAACGATGCTGCATTTTGATGGAAAAACAGACTTCTATTCTGTGCATGCCAGATGTTCCTCGTACAGGACCTTTCAGAAATTATAATGGCGTTTTGTTAAAGGCTTGATCACTTTTGACGGAAAAGTGACTGAAGATTTGCTGGTGTGTAGGGCTATATAAAAAATCAGAATAGTGGGGAATTCTCGTATTGACAACAATGTAGATTAATTTAATATCTCTTTAGCAACAGTGGGTGCTTGTATCCTGCATGGCTGAAAAAATGGAGCCTCTCTTGTGATGGAGGAAACCTGTTGCTTTTGTCACGGACTCGTTTTGAAACTTGAAAATTGCTCCATGGTGCACCAATTATTATTTATTTATTTATTTGTCAAATGAAGCGCTCGAAATTTGCACTTTTTGCAAAAAGAAAATGTTTTTTAATTTGCATTTAGAGTTTATGTATGATTAGGCTATTATTATTATTTATTTATTTATTTTTGTTTCCGGTGTCTCCTGCGATTTTCTTTTTATGTGGTATGATAATTAAACCCATCAAAGCAGACAGCTCTTACTTCGAGGAAGTCATAAAAGCCTGTACTGTTCCCCCATCCAGATTAGATGCAATCATCCCATAATTTGACAACACTCAATGGTACGTTCGTAGCCTATAAGAAACTCATGAATTGAAGGCGGATTTGTTTTTAGAGAATGAAACACGTCTTTAACTTTCCTCTGTGGGGGTCCCGGTCTGTTGCATTGTAAGCTGTAATTGTTTAAAGACATATGGCATATTTCATTACTGTAATCAGCTTCAACCCTGGGAACTGCTGCACTGGATTACGTGCAATTGTGAGAAAATCTGCACTTAATGGGCCTTCGACCACCCAAACAGTGCAAGTGCCGCGATTTTACCCCTGTAAAGCAAAATATATATATTTTTTATATAATACTCTTGTGTATTATAAATATCATCTGAAAATTATTTGAAATGCCTGTAAAGCCTCGTCAAAAAGTTTTTGGGGGGCTAGGCATTCAAAATAATGAACGAAAAGTTTAGGGGCCTCAACGAAATTATTTAATGTGTTCACTGGTCCTGAAGTAAATTTACTAATTTAGACTAAAATACTAAGCTAGGTTTAAAAAAATGTGTTTTTAACACAGGTCTGTTATTTTAAAATCATTACTAATTGGTGAGCATTAGGGGAAAAATGTGATTGGGTTACCTTATTTTTTGCCTTTCACTTAAATAATTTTCTTGGATCATTTAGAAGATACTTAACATGTAACACCTTTTCATTTAGGCTAAGTCTAATCTTTAGTCAAAAGAGGCGCACTTTTTTATCACCACAACCGTATTTCCCAAATCACACTGAATGTTTTATATATTAAAAAAATGTTTCCAGTCAGACAATTTTGAAAATCCACATTCCAAATGTAAAAGAATAAATTGTCATGAAATTTATTTCAGAACACTTCCATTCTTGTTTCCTTGAAATTAATTGAAGAGTCAAAAGAGCACCCTAATAAGGATAACTCAGGTCTGCTTTGATGACACGTTATGCTTTACGCATAGCCTACCTTATAGGACAAAACTATATTTTAAAATGTATTGTACAGGCTGTTACAATATTAGTTCGATTTTCTAGCAGCGTATTCACAACTTATTTGCTAAGCGTAGCCTAATGGGAAAACAAGGCTGTCAAGACTCAGCAGTGTAACAGCATCAATAAACGCAAACTTATCTAACCTTTTCCGGGCTTATCAGTTTATTTATTTTCTTACACGTTTACCCTATATCTAATATGTAAAAATACTGTTATGTAGACTGCTTCGATTTGAATCATTCCTGCTCGCGTTGTTAGACGTATATAGGCAACAATTTGACAGCATGTTAACATATCGATTTGCGTTTGACAGCTCTGTGGAGTTAAGTTGATTTTTGTCACCTTAAGCCATAAATATAAGCAACCATTTTAAATTCACTTATTTCGTAAACAAAAGAGATTGCGTTTCTGGTTCGCTATTAACAACAAAGAAAAACAATCTACTCACTGGATTTGACATTTAAAATATCCAGACAACCACTTGTTGAACCAGCAGGCTTGCTCATATTGAAGACCTCTGCTCCAAGAAAACTGCGTTGAAAAGTTACACTTTTCAGGCCCAGGGGAGTCCTAGCACTTTTGACTTGGATTAAAAAATGACAAGCATAAATTAAACATCCGATTTGCGGTGGACAACTGGTCCTCTGCTTTCTGTTGTAGTTTTCTTTGAGTGTGTCCAAGTCGCTCCTCTTGTTTCTCTGCAAATAGAATCCAGATTTGGTCTGACTGTTTATTGATGCGATGGATGCAGCCGCACTATGCCCAAGCCGGTCCCTTGTCTCTCAGCTACACGGAAAGTTGGTGAAACACAAGCCAGCACTGTACTTACTGCTCAACACCAGCTTAAAAAGTAGGCTACAGCATGCGTTGGAAAATGCGTCTGAGCCCAGAGTCTTGGTGAGTGACTTTGTGATGTGTACCGTCAGATTAAAGGTTTGCTAATATGTATGAGATGTATTAGAGTAGGAGGGCGGGAGAGAGGGAGGGTGGGAGGAGAGCCCAACTTCCTTTGACCACTTAGCTTTTCCCTGCCTTCTGCTTCAACTCCTGCTCTCGCATGACGTCACGGGGACGAATGAAGTGATATTCCACACACAGTGAGAGAGAGACACTGTGAGAGGCTAATGGTGCGCTCTGTAGGAATTGATTAGGATCAGCGAAGCTGTTTAAATGACCGAATCAAACGTTTGCCACTGATTAGGAACACATTTCCATCCTCTGGGAGTTCAGTGACCTAGTGCTCCCAGACTTAAGTAAATCGTTTAAAGTATCCTATTTAAATAATCCTCAGAAACATAATCACCTTCTCTTTTTTTTGCAACGAACTTACTTTCTGTCGTGCTTTCCCGGATCCTTCCATTGCGCGCGTGCACCTGTTGCGTTGGTAGAACGACTGCAAGCAAGAGATCTGATCTCCCTCGAGCCCGAATACTGATTCTCATCGCTCTCTCGCCAGGCGTGAAAATTTGAGGATATTGGTGTTTTTTTGTAGGCCTATTTTTAATTCTGAATCAACATGTGGCATGTGTTTACTAGGCTATGGTAAATGTGATACATTCTTTCGAGTGCACGGTTTTCGGTAACACTTTAGCTAGGATCCAGTTCTCTGTATAAAGTTATGCATATTATTGGCTGTTCATTAGTAGCCTACTTATAAAGCACATGTTAATGCCTTATTCTGCATGAACATATTCGAAATCCCTTACCGAATACCTAAAATCTTAACAACTATTAATAGCCTATAATTAGGAGTTTATTGAGGCAAAAGTCGTAGTTAATAGTGAGAATTGGACCCTAGACTAAAGTGTGACCCTTTTTTTTTTTTCTATTTTTCATAATGTAAAACATAATGTAAATGGAGGCCCTACGTCAACTTTTCTTATATTTAGATAGAAACGTGTTTTCTTGGGAGTTGGGGGTATAGGCAACATTTACTTTGTGTATAACATAGCCTACTTTATTGTGTAACCTATACATTTTTTTTTTTACTTAGCCTACATGTTTTTGTCGAATGCAACGTCTCTGTCGTCTCACGTCTCTGCCCCATGTGTAGGCAGCCTATTGTTAGCCTTGAGTCAGTTTAACGGGAATACAAATAAACAGTGATATGATGTAGTTTAGAGTTTAACCATGTTAGAGCTTTATGAAGAAAAAACCCGTTGTAATATTGAAAACATTTCTCCGCAAAAAAAAAGGAGGAAATTGTGCGCTGTATTTGGAGGGGACACATGCGTGCGAGTTTCCCTCGTGGACTGGGAGAATCACAACTGTACCCCTTTGAGAACGTGCGCGATGACATCTTGACCTTAACAGCGTGCCGTGTTGTGGTCAACGCCAGCAGACACCCATATTTTAGGTTTAATTATGAACATTCCCACGGTAGCTCGGGACCATATGGGAGCCCTAAATCTCGGTCTAAACGTGGCGAACGGGGGCGTATCTAATCGCAATTAGTGATTGTCATGTCCTCCTTTAAACGGTGTTCTCAGTGCACTGAAAAGAAATTAGGATTTTTGACAGGTGAATGACTGCATATTCAAATGTGCGTTTTTCACGACCTTGTGTGCCAGGCTGAGAAAAACAGTGTCACAGTAGACTCATACTGCATATCTCTGTGGGCATCACCAGCAAACTCTGGGCCACAAGTGATTACATCAAAATTAGTCTATGTCTTAGATGATAAACTATGTGAAGAGCATCATGTTAATTTTAAAAAGTGTGAACAAATCTGATTTGACTTTCTCTCTTATTCTTTCTCTCTTTTTTTCACATTTTTCCTATCTCTCTCTGTGTGTGTGTGTGTGTGTGTGTGTCTGTGTCTTAGGGGTGGGGTGGTCTGCTCGTAGTAATCTGCTTAACTCGCCCTAATCCTGTCATTCATAGATAGTCTTTACACAAACATAACCAACATCATGGTTGCCCCGGCTGCTTGCTTTCACTTTTTGTGCTTGTGACTCTCCTCTCAATAACAGTCAATGAAAATCTCTGACAAAGAACCATCTGATTGTGTATCTAGTTGTTGGCTTGACAGAATCAGTATGCAACTGCTTGCTTAGCCCTTAAAGTGGAGAGGGACAGCAACACCAACTCTTATCCTTAACCACTCCTGTAACAGCATGTTGGAGATGTTGCAAAAGACTTTTCTGTGATAGCACTTTGTTCTGAGATAAACGCATGTATATCTCAATGAGGCAGCAAACCAGAAAAAAATATACAGATTGCTACTAGCCAAGGAACTGGAAAAAAATATTTAGGCCGCTTAGAGCACTTCTGTTACTGACTTATATAGAAAGAAACTGCAAGAATGTTTAAAATGAGAACGGGACCTTAAGTGTTTTAGATATTATACAATTAATTAATTAAAATAAATATGATAAAAACACCGGCAATGAGAACAAATGTTTTCAACAAGGCCAATTTCATCCAACTATAAATTGAAGTCATTCACTAATTAAAAGCATTTTGAGGTTTTTCTCATGCAGATCACATTGTTAGAGTGCTGTCCTTATAGTAAACATGTTCTCTTACAGTATATGATGTATAGAATATCTATTCCTGATAGAAATATGTCTGTTGCTAAACTGTTTTGTATCTTTACATTTACATCTTTTTTTGTTTAGCAGAGGACACCTGCTGCCTGTTCTCACTGAAAAGAAAGTAAGGTGATCTTTTTTTTTCTTTTTTTCCCCTGCTAAATTAATAAATTTTTAAGCTTCTTAAAAAGGTGTTATGAGTTTAAGGTTGAATGCAATTTCATAACTGTCCAACTTGTACAGTAATGTTAGAAATTAGGAGAGGCATTTGCTCTTTCAAGAGAGTATATAAACATATTTCATCCCATAGCAAAGTATGAAACTTATAATCATCATCATCTTGATCATTTTTATTTATTTTTCAGGTACCGTAACTGTAAGTAAAATTAACCCCATGTTTTACACTTTGATAAACATTATCGATTCACTTACACAGATGATTTAATATTAAAGAGAGCATTCTTTAGGCCTGACATCAAATTTAATTTAATTATATCTATTTTATGTTCCATATAAGCCATTGCAGTATTCATTTCATCCCGCACCTTATATGAGGTTAGACCGTCACACATATACATATTCCACATGCCTGTATATAGAATTTTCCCATTATGCTGCCTACATTTCCAAAATAATAATAATAATAATAGTAGTAATAAAGGCCGAACACAACCTCACTCTGTCTAACTGGCAGGTCGATGGACGCTTTCTGACAAATCTATTTGGGGCAAATTGTCAGTGAGAAACTTCCGCCTGAGCTGGCCCGGACAAAACTGGCTGTTGGACGGACTAAATCCTACTGCAGGAGGGTCGGGACAATGGGCTCTGAATGTGTTGATGTGCTGGCAGTGGCTTGGGCCTGACAATGCCCGGATTAATTGGTCCCTTGGCTGACTGATTTGAGATGGCTTCACTCGGGTCCTCTCCATGGGGAGCCCCATTGTCCTTCTCCTGATTCCCACTTTTCACAAACTCCAAACAAAAGTCAATTTCTTTCTCAAGGGGTTTTGGGAGAAGAGGAGAAATATCGAGACCTCGTGGTTCGGCTTCGCGAGAGGTGACTTTAAAAGAGAGCTCATTTCTCCCCTCATCGTCTAAGTTTTTAAATGGATGACTTAACTCATTCCGTTTCCCTTTCTGCCTGCATGCCCTCCCTCTCTTTAAGGCCCCAGAGCTCCTCCTGAGACTGAGAGGTGTTACCGTCAGCGGGACAGGAGAGAGCTTGTCGGCCTGTATGCAGAGAGGAGCCTAGGCACCTGTTGAGAGTGCTGGCAGCTCCGAGCCGAGGAGCTCGTTCTCATTAATATTAAAACATCGAGATGCCATCATGTTGCTGCGCTGAAATCGGTCTGATGTTGTCCCCCCCGACCCGGCTCCCTGGGGACCGACTCTCCGCTTCCACAGTCACTCATGAAGGGCACCCCCTCTACCCTCTTTCCCTGCCTGTCTCTCTTTTTCTGTCCTCTCATTATCATTCTGCTTTTTTGAAAAGCCTCGTTAACAAATTATGACAGCTGGCTAAAGAAGCTTTCGCCGTTCACACCATTTTGGCGAACAGTGTAGGGGCACGAAATGACAAACTTTATTCTGCTGTGACATCAACTTTCTTTTATTTGTTTATTTGTCTCTTCAGGTGACGGGTCATCAATAGCATATTTCACAGAAATAATTTGCCTGCCAAAGCCCATCACATCATGGCTTTTATGTGATAAGTACAATGTGGTGCTGCATGTTGATCTCCTTTATATTTTGTGCTTTTAGTTTCCGTATTTGCAGTGACACTGAAGGAATTTGATCATTTTTTTATTTTTTTATGTAAATTTGTATAACAAAATGTTTTAATACATTAAATATATTAATATAATACATTTTTAATTTAAACTACTTCAAAATGTATTATATTAATAGATTTAATGTGTGTGTGTATGTGTATATATATATATACATACATTTTTTATTTTATTTTTTAAATATATAATAGTTATAAAATTATAATACATTTTGAAGTAAATTATATAATTATATATAAAATAAAACTTTTTAATTTAATATTAGACTTAATAATAATTCTTCAATTTTAGTAAATGTAAAAAGTTGTATTTTTCTATAACCTTGAAGTATAGAGCTGTACAGTTTAATTTGATTTAATATAAAAAAAAATAATACAAGAAGACTTAATGCATTTTAATAATACATTTTAATACATTTGTCAAGGTTACGAATGCACCTTTTGTGTTAATTTGACATACATGCAATGCAGTCAGTCTCATCTGTTGAATTAATATATAGGTTAAAAAGAAATTCAGATGAAGAATCCGATACAAAATAATTCATTATTAAATTTAAATCAATGATTTATTGATTTATTTGTTATTGATGATTATTATCATCATTGTGAATTTCATTTGTTCATGCCCACCAGTAATGGAAATAATGATAATGAATACATTTAACTGAAGTCAACAAGTATAATGAAGTTAA